ACTCTCTTTCCTTTATTTTCCCTACTGATAATAGATATACATGTGATGGTTGGATTTAAAGTGGCCTTCTTGCAATTATGACTGAAAGGCCAAGGGATTCCCAGAGACTTCTAGAGTAACATCATTGAATTATATAAATAACACCAACTGCCTTCTCTGAACCTCTAATTATGTGAGAAAAATAAACTCATATCCTAATTCCCATAGAAAACATGGCGCTTTCTACAACATTTTGGTGACTCCTTTGTAATGTCTTCTTTGGTTCACCAATTTAGTCTTTCCCACTGCTCAGCTTCTCACTCAGACACTGTACTTTCTGCTCAGTACAGCCCCTTGCTCCCAATGACGCCTGATGTTCCAGACTGAGCCAGCCCATCCCCTCTGCTCCTCTTCCCCTGAGGACTGGGCATTATCTTTACAGCCCAGATTCTTCTGACCTTGTCCTGATGGCTGACATAGTGTCCTGGTCTACTTGGTCTTCCTGCTTTCAATCTCTTCCAGTTCCTTTCTGTACTGGACACTATCACCCACGTAGACAAAAAAGGGGTTCTGTGATAAATGTGCCAAGTCCAGTGACCAAAAGGAATCCCACAGCGTGATCTGATCATAAATTCCTAACTGAGCAGATCATAGTGGATATGGACAACCCAGGCACATAAAAGGTTTATCTTTGCTTTAAGCAAGCCCTGTCCATTGTTCTTATGCATCTAGGTTAACACACCTGTGAAATGTCTTTTAAAGACCCTCAGAAATGAATCAGTCTGTTCCATACTTCTCTGAGGAGCGGGGGGTGGGAGGGAAAGATTAACCAAATAACTTACATACATATATGCATAACCCATGGACACAGATAATAGTGTGGTGAAGGCCTGGCCGGGGGGAGGGGTGAGGGTGGACAGGAGTAGGATAGAGGGGGTCAGTGGCGGAGAAGGGGGGAGGACATCTGTAATACTTTCAACAATAAAGATACTTTTGTTTTTTAAAGAGCCCAGCTGGTCTGGCTCAGTGGTTGAGCATTATGAACCAGGAGATCATGGTTCAATTCCCAGTCAGGGAACATGACCAGATTGCAGGCTAGATCCCTAGTGGCGGGCATGCAGGAGGCAGCTGATCAATGATTCTTTCATCATTGATGTTTCTATCTCCCTTCCTCTCTCTGAAATCAATAAAAACATATTAAAAAGGCCCGTCAGAGGCCTAGTCACATTCCAGGAAGCACATATCTTATTAACTGTCCTGTAATTCAGTCCTAGAGATTTCTTTCTCTGTCCTTGCTTTCTCTTACCTTCATCTAATCTTCCTAATGTCCCTCCTTAGTTCCAAATGTGTAAAGGGAACTGCAAAGCTGTCATTCTGTGAAGCATTTGCGAACTTGCTTCTGGGTATATTGTCAGTTTGGTTCAAATAAACTCTACAGGTTTGGATATTTCTTACATCAACAAAAAGATTTTCATAAAGAACATTTGGTAATAACACCAAAAAGTCTGGTGGTAATATGCATCAAATGGTGTAATAAAAAATCTTCAATGGTTCCCTCTTGCCTACTACATTAGATATTCAAACTGCTCCATAGTATAACTTCTATAAAAATTTCAGCTTTATATAATACAATTTTTCTATATTTAAACTATTTCCTTGGTAAATAGAATATTATTGTTCTTTAAATGAATCTTGTTATTTCCTACTTGTATAGCACTTTTGTACTATTTCTTCTTCCTGGGATGTGTAATGTCTTGCTCTTAATCTTATCTTCTACAGATTACCCATTTATGAATTCCTAGCTCTAGTGACAACTCGCCCACAGTCTCCCATTAATATTTAAAATAGAACAATGTTCCTCTTCTATCATCTTGTGGCATAGCTATTTAAGATATATAACATACAACCACATAGTTTTCTTATTCAGGTACCCATGAGATTATCAGATCCATAAGAGAAGTAATGATGTAATAATATTTTATTCTAACATTCAACAAATATTTATCAGGTCCTCTCTGTTTTAGGTGATGGTGGGTGTCATGAACAAGATGGAGTTTATGTTTCAAGGAGAGGCATGTTTTACAGATAACAAGAAAATAGATAAATAAGCAAATAGGATAATGTCAGATTTAGATTGGATAATTACAGAAGTTCTCCCTGTAAAGGTATTTGAAATGAAGTATCAATGATAAGAAGCATCCAATCACAAAAAGATCAGAGGAGAGCAAGTGGAAAATCATCCCAAAGTTAGGAGTGAGTGTGGCATGTTTGAAGGTCACGTGGAAGACAGTGGGGCTGGAGCACGGTGTGTGGAGGGAGGACTAGTATAGGTGAGGTTATAGAGGGAGGCAAGGGCCTAATCTTGAAGGCCTGTGAAGGCCAACCGAAGTGGTTTGGATTTCATTCTCAGGTTTAAAACAGGGAGCAAGATGATCTAACTTACAGGTAAAATGACCTCTCTGGCTGCTGTGTAGAAAATGGATTACACCGGCTTAAAAGTGGAAGCAAGATTAATTGGAAGACTACCACAGTGGCAGTAGAAGAGAGAAAAGTTGACACATTAATAGTCTCTGTAGTATTAAGCATGGTATCTTGAACATGGTAGATGCTCAATATACCTCATTAAATATGTGTTCAAGAGTTTCAAGATACTTTCACCTTCTTAATTTTATATTACCCTTTTCCTGCTTTGATTCACATATTACACCTTAATATATTCCTGTTTCACACTTGGGAAAGAGAAAATAAAAGAACTTCATATTCAAGGAAACAGTATAGATCCTATAATGAAATGATGGAGGATCCTATTGTTAAGTTAATCATGGAAAGAAATAAATTACTTGAAACAAATGGTAAAAAGTAGAATTCAAATCTTTGATAGGATAAAAATAGCATAATCAAATACAAAGATTTATATTTTTAAAAAAGAGTCTCTATCAGCATCAGCCTGAACACTGTGCCTATAGAAATTGTGGGTAAAGTTAATTATCATTAAATTGAAGACTTTTCCAGTTCTAATTTAATTTGATTTACCAGGAAATATAAAAAATTCATTTTATTATCTTGATAAAATAAATTTCCTAATAAGTAGCTAATACTAGCTTACTAGAAAGAAATATTTATAAAATTCTAAGAGCACTGAAAGTGACCTGCCGTGTCTCTAAGTTAAGAATCTGAGAAAAGTTAGGCAATCCGGTAGGTCCGCATTCTCTTTCTCATGTACTTCCCAGAGCATTTAGCTTTTTACCCATGAAGATTTGTCCTGCATTATTAATTCAATCTAAATTCTTTCAATACAAAGCAAAACTGAGGAGAAAATGGGATCATTTTTTTGCCACTTTCCACCTGAAATGCTGAATGGCTCCTGAATCGTGTGAAACTTGGCCCCAGTCAGTGTGAAAACTGGCTGAAATCTGTACGAAAGGCAGTCTGGGTTCGTCAAAGTAGTTCATGAACTTTGGCCAAACTTCCAAGAAACCTGGTCCAAGTCTTAGTTTGCACTGCAACATGAAACCAGGTGAATTTCACATGGTTTCAGGTTTCATCCTAAAAAATTTGGCTTAGCTTTATAATCAATCATCACTTTTTAAAACGATGAAAGCCAACACACCTTTTTTTAAAAATGAGGGCTGCCTGCATACTGATGACAGCTAAGCTGTGAACCACCCCTTCACTTCCTTTGCCAAAAGAAGACTTCTCAGAGTGGAAACAGTCTCCCTCTTACCTGCAAAGGGCAAGCTGAGTGATTCTGGTATTGCGTGTAGAAAGAAATGACACTCAATACATGGAGACATGCCATATGAAATAACCGCCACGTACCAAGCAAGTGGCTATACGCTAATCATCTAAGGTTATGAGAATTTTACCCCATTCACATCCAGGACATATATCAGAACGTTTAATCTCCTTGACCATAAAATAAGCTTTTACCTTGAAGCTAGTCATCAGCTAGAATAACTGCCATGAGAAACGAAACGTTCTGAGGCATAATGATTTCTGTATGAAGAATGGCCGAAGAATAGCAAGGAACATAAATCATAGCATAACTTTCACCTAGTTTAATAAACATAAGGACATAAGACACAAACTTTTCAGACTTGCACTGACTACATCGTTTGCAATAAAACCTCGACTGTAGTATACATGGATTCAATAATTATGCACAGTGACAAAAAACATCCTACACAATTGTGTTTTCAACCTGAAAGTTTGAGATGTGCTTTTCCACTGTGTAAAAAAAAAAAAAAAAAAAAAGAAAGAAAGAAAAAGAAAAAAGACTCTCTTCACCCGAATACTCGCTTTTGTGCGTAGTGACATGAGAAAATCGAGAGGTATGTCTGAACGGAGCCACTACATCATTGGAACAGTATGTCTGAACATTGGGGTAATAAGGCACAGATGTGGAGCAGAGGACTTGGCACTACCAAGGTAACAACAAAGCATTCACCACTGTGTTATAGTGGGTAAAAGAGCCACATTTGAGAAAAAGAAAAGGATGCCCTTCCTCCCTGGAATGCTAAATTACATTACACCTTTTATTTGCTCAAACATCTATAACAAATAAGAAATTCAAATAAGTATTATTCAAACATGATGAGAAATAAACATATAAAATGCATTAATATTTTCATCTATAATGTATCATATTTATGCAACAGCACATAAAATTTAACTGCAGGAAAAAAAGGCCAAATTCAATAGGAACCCACAAGGCCTTTATGTTGAAAACACTGCATGCAATTATAAAGGACCCAGTAGCCAGTGGAATGATGTTGTTGTTGACTGTGGGTAGCAATTATGGCCCTGAATCCATAGGGCTAATTACTGTGGAGTGTTCTCTTTACAGTTATCAAGTTAAGATACTACAACAGTGTATGCACATTATAATAATTATTATTGTTAATCAATTATTGTAAGTATAGGTGATACTAAACTATGTGACACAGAGGCAGTCATGAAGTCAAGACAAGTTTGGAGTTGAAAACTAATTTTCTGCTCAGGATCGGAAGGGTACAACTTACCCGAGGTCCCTGATCACCTTGTTCTCCCTGCAGAGTAGAAAAATGAGAGGATAATTTTAGCACTAAGTCTATATCTGATGCTCATTAAAAAAGATAAAGGAAAACATAGCATAGATCATGTCAATATGAATTTCCACTAACTTAATTTGTTTCTGCTATTCATTTTCTTACCTTATCACCTTTTGGACCAGGAGGGCCCTAAGAAAACAAAGAGAAAAAGAAATATAGTTTAAAAATAATTTTTTAAAATTGTAGTTTGCAAGAGGAGCTAGGGTTAGGTGCAAGATTCATGCAAAGGGCACAGAGATATAGCTGTCACCGAGGTTTTTCAAGGAATTTTGGCATCTAAATTATAATTATAATATGGTTAGGCTATGAAAATTATATATATGGTATAATGGTGTATGTATAGGGTGGCTCCCCAAAAATATGTACATACACTTTGAATAATTATGAAGGCAGTGTTTATTAAAATACTTTTCATTTTCAAAACTGAGCTATCAGCTGTTAAAGTGTGTACACATTTTTGGGGCCATCCTGTATACACACACACACACACACACACACACACACACACACACAGAAAAGTACATGTCATAGGTACATCATATGTTGAACAAATTTTCACAAGCTGAACATACCTATGCAAGTTGAACCAGCTAAAGAAACCCAGGAGCATCTGTTGTGACGTTTCCTTATCACTAATCTCCACCAATAGTAACCCACTATTTCTGACTTCTGACAGATAGGTTAGTTTATGTATTTTATATAAATGGAATAATATAGTATTGTTTGGCCTCTTTTGCTCAATATATGTGAAATTCATGCACAATTTTGTGTGTAGTTGTGGATCATTTTTCTTTCTGCTTTATAATATTTTATTGTGTGAATAAACCATAATTTATTTACTCATCCCACGGTTGATGGCCATTTGTTTCCAGGTCTTCATGATTACAAAGAGTGCTTCCATAAACATCCTGGTATATGCCTTTGGGTTAAAAGTGTATGCATTCCTTTCCTTTGTGTGGGGTAACATTTTAGCAAGTGATATTCATATGCATTTCTTTGGGGTATATATATCTAGGAGTGGAATTATTAAGTTATAGAAAATACATATGTTCAGTTTTAGCAGGCACTGCCAAATAGTTTTTCAATGTGGTTCTAACGATTTAAACTCCCATCAGCAATGCATGAGAACTTCAGTTCCCCTATATCATCACCAACTCTTGGTATTTTCCAACTTTTTCATGTTAGAGATGAGGTGTAGTGGTTTCACATTGCACTTTAATTTGTATTTCTTCAGTGGTTAATTATGTTGAATTTCTCTTAATGTAGGTATTAATCATTTTGCATCCTCTTCTAGAAAGTGTTCACATCTTTTGTCCTTTTTCTATTGAGTTATCCTATTGATTTGTTAGAGTTCTTTATATATTATACTGCAATGCTATATATCATACACACACACAAACGCATAAATATATATGCAGAGAAAGAGAGAGAGCGTGTGCACAAATATATTCTCCCACTCTGTACATTGTGTTTTTATTCTCTTAAAGGTATTTTTGATGAATAGAAGTTCTTATCTATCTATCTATCTATCTATCTATCTATCTATCTATCTATCTATCTATCTAAAAAGCCAGTGACTGGAACACTGTAATGACCAGAACGACTGGTCGCTATGATGCCCACTGCAGCCAACAAACCGGCCAATCAGGAGGTGGGGCCAGCCAGCCAACCTTCTGCAGCCCCTCCCCCAGCTGGTCCCACCCCCGATGGGCCCCCACCACCCCAATCAACCCGCAGCACCTCCCCCTGGCCGGCATTGCCCCTGATGAAACCCCACCACCCCGGTTGGCCCACAGCCCCTCCCCTAGTCAGCCCTGTCCCTAATTGCCCCCCCCTACCCCAACAGGGGGTGGGGATGGCTGGCCAAACTCCCATGGCCCCTTCCCTGGCTGCTAACCCCTAATTGCCCCCACCCCCACCCCATCAGGGGCGGGGCCTGTTGGCCAATCACTCACAGACCCTCCTCCCAGCCAGCCTGGTCCTGATCTGCCCCAATTGGGGCCAGGCCAGCCAGACCCCACCTGTGCACAAAGTCATGCACTGGACCTCTAGTTTTTAATAAAGCTCAACTTAACACTTTTTCTACTTATAGTTATCTCTTTTTGTGTTCTACTTAAGAAATCTTTGCCTACTCCAAGATCATGAAGAGGTTCTATGTTTATTGTAAAAGCTAAAAGCTTTATTACTTTATCTTTCATCTTTAGATCTAAATTCATAGAGAACTGATTTAGCGCATGATTTGAGGTCAAAGTCAAAATAACCCCCCCCCCCCAACGTGGATATCAAATTAACCTAACACCATTTATTGAAAATACATCTTTTCCCCATTGTAGGACAGTGTTACCTTTGGCCTAAATTAGATGACTATATATATATATATATATATATATATATATATATATATATATATATATATCTTTTAAGGAATTTGTTTTGTTGGACAGCTGTCTATTCTTGAGACACTGAGATTTTCTTTACCTTTAAACAAAAATACTAGCAGGAAATATTCTAGAAGCATCAATACCTTTTCCCCCCTAGCTTTTAAAAATAAAGTCACATTTCAGGGTTCAGCCTACCTGAGGAATTAGTGCATTTCAGAGTTACCTACAATCTCTCACCTTCAGTAGGTCTGGGAGATAAGAAATCTAGATGGCAAGTAAAGCCAAGGTTCTAGCAAAGTCCCCTCCTTAGTTCCCAGGGGAGACTGCTGTCACTTCAGATGGGGAAGTGGGAATTCTCCACCTACTAAAATATGTCTTCTGTTAGTGACAGAGGAACTGTACCCAATCCCCCTTCTCAGTTGTGCCACTTCTACTAATAGTTGTGAGGTTATCACGAAATTAATAATATCAATAGCATCATGTTTTATATTTTGTGTATTTTACTATCAACAAAGAATCTGTTACAACATTTAACCTTTTTCCCAATCCAAAGAGGAAAGTATTATACTAATACTTTTATAGATGCCTAAAATAATTTTTTTTATAAAAAAATTATTAAAAAAATAATAATAATAAATAAATAAATAAAATTATAAAACATTATCAAAGGTAGGTCTCTTGTGAGTTTAGTGTAGTCTGTGGGACTTTAAATGCAGTGATTTGGAAAGATAAGTGTTGGGACACAGCTCTAGCACTAGATTCTCAGAAAGAATGATGACCATGTGCCTACAACAGGTGTTTTCTGAAATGCCTCCCAACTGCATTTCCCACAGGGTCAGGGACATTGACCTCAAGATCTCAAGTTCAAATGAGAGAAAGAGGAATTATAGAGTATCAGGGAGAGGAAAAGGGGGCTAAGATAATGGAATCACCTAGACAAAACCCTTTTATCTCTTACCCAGAAAATAATCTTGCTATTAAAAAAAGAAACTTATTTTGTAATGTTTTCAGTAATTTTTTAATGTTTTCAGTGAATCAAGTAGTGATTAATAAGTACAGTCTGTGTGCCTACCTCTGTACAGTTAAGTTTAAGGAATTTATTTGGTCATATTAAACACAAACAAAATGTTCACTAATACTCCACAAATAGAAATTCATTTTTGTTGGGACCAAAGGCAGCCCAAAGAAGAAAATGAGAGGATACCTACCATCAAGTTTAAGAAATATAATGGAGACTCCAGTCTTGATTTAAGCAGCATGTTATTTAACTCTACTTTGGTTTTCATATACATTTGTTAATTGTATATGCAAGTTTGGCACTGTTCTTAGTACTGACAGAGAATCTGGTGGGAGAAACTGATTAGAAAAGCTAAACAGTCTTCTCTGAAAAAGGTAAACAGTCTAGTGCCAACATTAGATATTAGCATGAAGAAAAACTACCCTGTAGAAAATCCAGCTACTGTATGGCCACTTACAGTTACTGTGAACCCCTCCCCAGCTTTCACCCTTTCCTTGCCCAAAGCTTCTCCTCTTTAAAGTTCTATTTGCTTTTACTGGTGAAACCTCAGAGGCCACGCTTCTCACTGTTCCAGTCCCCTAAATTCACTCTGTTGGGTTATATGGCATGTTGGAGAGCAAAGCCTTTCTGAAATAATTTTACAGTGGGGAATGGAGATGAGTCTTTCTCCCAAAATCCAATTACTAAGTCGCAATTACCCAAGTAATACGTATCAACTGGAGCTCTTTAGACAGCTTGAAAACTTGCACTAACAATTTGCACTCACACGCTGCAAAAGGGGTGTTTCTGAGCAGACAGAATGGCGTCCTGGCACCTGCCAGCTCAAGACAGAACCGAAGCAGAGGTCAACCTCCATTCACAGCTGTGGTGGCTGCTTCGGACACTCCAGACCCCACTTGTGCTCTTGGGATTAATGGCAGGTGTTTTTCTTCTGCTTTGACAGAAATCCCACTCTTCTTTCTGAATGGGACTCTCTTCACTGCGAATATGGGTTGAGTTTTAAGAAAAAGCAAACACGTGGGCCACCTTAGTAAACACAGATCGGATTTCAAAATTTGGGAGCCATGGTTCTTTTCTAAGTCAAAACACTACAAACAAAATAAAGGTTTCTTTGATTATTAACTTTTAAAATTAAAGCTGGGTCATTAAGTTATTTTATGACTTTAGAGTAAAAGCAAAAAATCACTGGTATTAACTAAAATACTGACAGCAACACAAATAAATGCATTATTTGAACTACAGAGTACTTTTCAATAGCATTTTGTTACTAAACCAGAGTATTTGTTGTTCAGGTATCAGAATCAGAGATTAGTTGGTAAATATTTGAAGATAAAACTTTGTCACTAAAACATGATTGAGGTCAATGGAAAGTAAACAGTAAAATTAATAACCATAAAAAAAGTAAATATTGAATCACAGTTTTATATAAGGCTTCTTTTGGGATTCCTGTCCTTCTTGGCTAGTCTAGGGTGTTGGAGTCAGATCTTTTTTAGTGTCTACTTCAATAAATAAAAATATTTGAAATAATTTTTAATTAGTTTTATGTATCTAGCTCTATTTACATAAAATTTGAAGGTGCTAACACATTTTTTATTATGAGTGCTGCTGTTTCAGAGTGCTGCTAGAGTATTATTAATTTACTACCAAAGAATTTAAAAATTTCAGTGGCAAACTTCAAATTAGCTCCTATTCAAATGACTTTATGTAACAATCTTTTTATTTTTACCATGTCCTTAA